TCCCATTTCTGTCCATTTTGGTCCCATTTCTGTCCATTTTGGTCCCATTTCTGTCCATTCTGATCCCATTTCTGTCCATGTTCGTCCCATTTCTGACTCTCAGCCCAATTTCGAACGTTACTAGAGTTATCCATCCAGGTTTCTCTTTCCTGCCATTGGTTGTCAGGCTGATTATCTGTCCAGGGTGTGACAACTGGAAGGGTGAGGCGTCCTCCAGGGGTGCTACTTCGTCGGCGCCGATCAATTAAGCTTTCTCGTTCACGTGATTTGTGTTCGGGAACCGCGTACGTTGCTTCTGTTATACAAAACAGAATAATTACATGGATATTGTATACATGTGAATTGAAGGATATTTGCATTGACGGTGAGTTTACAGTTTGTTAGGTATCGGGGAAACGCTAACAATGTAATAGTTACCTGGTCCCAAACTAGAGGATACCTGTACTATGAGCACAAGAGCAATGGAATTGCCCTGGAACCCAGAATACCCAGAAAAGAAACAATTTAGAAAAGTTCATTTCCAAATTGGTCCTACAGGGAATTGAACTAGGGACTACCTAATACAGGTATAGTACGGTGGTCAGACATAACAGATAGAATACTAAACCTGAATTCATCCCATTCAGTCTTTCTCTCAAAGTATCTTGCGTATGAAGAGCTGGAGACCTCAACTGCTCTGCTGTTGGTGTTTTGCTTCTGTTGCCCATTTGGTTGACGTTCGACGCTATATGAAAAAATGTACAACTCTCGCAAGGTTACTTGGAAATTGATAAAGAGTGTATTTTACAAAAGAAAAAAAACTATAAAATGTGGTATTTTTAAGTTCATTGAATGTCACAATGTTTAACTACCATGATACTCATTTATTTTTGTGAAATTACTCCACTAGTCAGTTTGTAATAATTATTATTGCAAACATAGAACACTAAGAGAAAAATCCTTCTATCCGGCTGGATTCAAATCGATATACAATGTGTTTCTAAAAGTAAAAGGTAGCGGAGAACTGTTTCATCATATTTTTTTTGTTTAACAGATCTAATGTATCAAAACAATCAAAATTAGTACAATGTAATGTCAAAAACAGCATTCAGAGAAAAAGCTGCGAAAAGAATTTTTCATTTTTTTTACATTTTGAGGTAAATAGCGTGTCGGCTTTAGACGCCGGCTATTATCACGGGCTCACTGTGGCAGTCTCTTGAAGAGAGTGTTGTACTTGCCAATATTTTCCAGTGTTTTAGTTAGGTGGATAGTCACTCAGGTCAGCGATTTAAAATTGTTTGAATTTGTAAAATTATGAAACATTATAATTTGTGAAGTTTACGAGGCCATTTTATTATTCGATAAGGGGAACGACAAATTCCTCAAAATAGCATAAAAATGATAAATTTTACTTAAAAAAAAAGAATAGTGTTAAGTCATAATAATTGTACTTTGCAAAGTTAGCTGTTTCGGGTTATTCCCAATAAACAAACATTAATTGGGATTTTTTTTACCACTGGCAACTATTGGGACATTTTAAATTTCATTTGTCGCCAGTGGCTACAACAGATTTTTTTATCCCATTTGTCACCACCTGGTAACATATGTTTTTTTCCCCATTTTTCGCCAGTAGAAATCACCACTGGCAACAACTGAGATTTTTTTATCCCGTTTGGCACCACTTGGTAACATATGGGATTTTTTTCCCATTTGTCGCCAGTGGGAACAAAGCCAATGGTGATAACTGGGTATAAGCCGCTATTTCTATTGAAAAACTAATAAATGACGAGCTCGTATGTGGAATAAACTGCCTAATTAGTCCATGTTATAAGGACCCTTCGCCGCAGTACTTACTTGAAGGTTGAACTCTAGTAGCAGATCTGCTCCTTGGAGCTCTGGCTACTGTGTTGTTTCTTCTCCATACTCGGAGCTTAGTTTCGTGCATTGCTGGACAGTCTTTCAATGCCTAAAAACAGGAGAAAAAATGTAGATCACGGAAAAAAATGTAATAACATTTTTATTGGGATCTATATTTGTAATAGATACTAAGCAGCTAGGCTTCATGGAATCCAAATGCCCCCGTGGCCATACGGTTAACAAGCTGGTCTGCCACGTAGAGGTCCCGGGATCGATTCCCGGGCCGGGAGAAATATTTTTAAGGCCTATATTTATTTCTCTCGTGAGTTGGGGTGTAATTTGTGATTGTTTATTTGTGTGTCCAACGTCCATGGCACCCGCGATCATAGAATAATAAATACAGTAGAAATGGTTAGTTAACGTGTGACGCGTGCCAACAGTTGGTCTCGGCTTTGTATGGTATGGTTTCTCCAAAATCGTAGAAAATATGGTCGCTTCTTTTTTTTGTACTAATAAATAACTCCAATTGTTCGTCGGTCAGTAATTAACCGCTAGATGGCAGCACATTGGTTCAAATTTCAATATAGTATCAAACGTAAATGGCAATAATACGTATTGATGGTATTGAACTTTTAACGACATGCCAACACAGTAAAGTTTAAATTATATTAACAATACAGAATTTGTTTAGGAAATGAAACTTTCGGGCCCTTTACAGGTCCCATGGTCACGGTTGACTGGATGGGACCTGTAAAGGGCCCGAAACGTCAGTTTGTTTGAAAAAACAATTATACGCGATTTAAATCCGGAAAAATAGTTTCATTTCCTATGTGTAACAATCGCGAAAACCTAAGAACTTGATACAGAATTTGAAGCTACGACCAATCAATATCAAGATTTTGTAGTGTTTCAAATTAAGAATGTGTGAGCTTTGTTGCCATCGGTTCTGGTGGTAATCGAGGCTTAAGGCACTTCTATTGTTTTTTTTTCTCCCGTGCCCGCGATACTGGTTTCCCTAGTGCGTGTATATGAAAACTAACAGAAGTGAACCTAAATATGGAAGCAAAACGAATGTAAATGCGACAGCAAAGATGGAGGAAGCAATGGGGACACGTTATGAAACCTAATTTTGACCAAAACCATAATGACACTGTCAAATACGGGACCACAGGGGAAGAAGCCCAGAACATGTCACTTAATATATTAGATGTTCCAAAAAACTTGAATCAGACTCTTGCAACAAGTACCCCAACAGAAAGTCAAACATCAAGAAGAGAAATTAATGACGAAAAAGCGCCTAAAATACACTATATACAAAAAGTTGTCAAAAGTGCAAAGCCTAATGATACACTGAATGAAGTCCCTAAGAAGTCAATACTTGAAACATTTAACCCAACACAGATAGAAAATAAACCAGATAAAAATAAAAATAGTAACACAAAAATCACCACAAGTGAACTTAAACATGAAAGTGACATAGTGTGTGTATGTTAAAAAATCTAACTTACTTGAACTACATGTTGGTGAGGCGCGTGCCGAACGTCCGTGTCACCAATTTGAAGCAGCAAATCACCTTCGCGGAGACCTGCGCAGCGGCTACGGTCCAGTACCTACAATTGAATATGGTCCATTTGAATTTCGTAGTGCGTTTCACGTGATACACAACAATATTGATTGAATGACCGTTTTTATGCAAATATTTTTTCCGATTACATTTTAGATTTTTGTTTTCATTATTGTCTAATTGCCCATTTTGAACTGCCTACAGCAATCAAGTTACAAAGATTTTTTTTTAAATATGGTAAACGATCACTAGCTACAGGTTTCATACCACGGTATAATTTCTTTTAATTTTTCTGATATTTCGAAACGGTTACACGTTCCATGGTCCTTTTTTTAATAATACCAAATGACGGGACGAGCAAGTCGTGCGACTGGTGGTAAGCAACACGCCTGTCAATAACAGCCGCAGTGTCACACAGAGATTTAAATCGCAAAGATGTTAGGGGCACTGGCATTGCGCCCGTCACCCTGAGACATAAGTTGACAAGTCCCATGTGTCTGTAATTTCACCAGCACCCTTCAAAACTTGGCGGCAGAAACCACCAGTTAACTTGGTCAACTGTGTTTCAGTAGTAACTGGTAGTAAAACGGACAGCAAAGGATTCTATCTATGATATTTTAAAATTCTATGTACTCGTGCAAAAGGGCACTCCTTCGAGTTTCTTATTCATTCTTTTCAGGAGAATCTCACTTACGAATGAGTAGTATAGTACAATCCTTTCAACAGTTGTAGTGTAATTTGTTTATGTACGAAATAAAGGTAGCACACCTTTTTAACCTTCTGCCCGTGCACACTGTCGGCTATAGTAAAACCGAATCCCGCGGCGCCTCTACGCAGAGTGAGCACTAACTCCCTGCCAGGTTCGCTTGTCGCACTCCTGTCATTGCGTGGATGGTCTGTGTAATAAACGAAGCTTTTATTAACAATGATTCCAATTTAAATTTATTTTCGTTCATACATACATATAGAATATCGTCTGCTTAAAGGTAAAACCACATAAGTGACACTCCACAAATCCACATAAAATCTCCAATTTATGTACCTGTTGTAAGAAAATCACCATGTTTCTGCAAATAAAACCACTTATTGAGAAATGAAATGAAATATTTATTCGCAAGAAAACACGATAAGAAAAGATATTATTATACAAGGTGTCAAGAACACGTGCTGCACCAGATACTGTCACGCAAATATTAAAATAAATTGAAGTTAAATAATGTCATAAATTAAAATTATACAATTTGTCAAATAAGCAATGTCATATAAAATTAGTTTATAGTTTATTGTATTATGAGTTTATAGTTTTCTTGTTATTGAGTTTCACCTGCAGAAAGATAGTGATTTTCTTATCATAGCTATATAAAGACTTTATGTAGAAATGTCACTTATGTGGTTTTACCTTTAAACAGACGATATGCAAACGTATAAAATATAAAGAGGAGATATATTCTAGTTTTTTTATTTGAATTCAATATCATGACATGAGCACGGACGAAAAACTGCGAGACTGAGGCGCCACCTGCAGGTTACAGAGTGTATCGCACGCTCCCTCTGCCGGCGGACCTCGACGGAGTCTCGGTGGGGAACATTGGTGGTAGGCGAGAGAGGTCAAAGTGGTGGTTCGAGTCTCGGGCTGCACACACGCTATCTAGATATTGTCCTACGTTTCGCCTAGTGTCTATATTGATCGTTAAAATTAATAGGAAGTACAAGATGTTATTCGATTTCATAGTGATTAAAACACACAATGTAACTATTAAACTTAATCTCATTGCACGATCCCTAAATCTGTCCAAACGGTGTCTGAAGATTCAGTTTTAAACCATGACGGTTATAACATATCCACATTTAAATCATATAAGAACAGGCGTTCTTATTAAAATGTATATGAATAATAATTGATTTCGATACAAGTAGGCCAACTGTCAAAGAATGCAATAACGCAGTAATCACTAGGACTTCGTAACATTCACAATCCAGAAGTTTTTAGCAAAATTTTACCTTCTTTCACAATCTATCGATAATAATGTCGACTACAACTACATGACTATTTAAAATTTTATGAAAATTGGCAACCTCGCAAATGTCATTTCACTCCGGCTTCAGCATAATCCAATATTCATGACGGAGATTTTTTTGATGAAATGGACGTTTCTTGTGTTTCCTGGTCACGCATAGTACCAGCTGACTAACAATGGCATACCCTCGTTCGTTAAGTTAAATGTAAATAATAATAATAATAAATTCTTTATTTAAACAGAAAAGTTACATGTCATTGTAGGCCCTGGCTTCCGAGCTAGGTTCAAAGACCTGTGTTACGGAAATCAGTGTCTTCTCATAATTAGTGACACTTATTTATTTCTGGCAGTTAAAGTATCTGCTATTAATATAACATTTACTAATATATATATACGTATATACATATTTATGTGTGTTTGTTTGTTTGTGTGTGTGTATGTGTGTTTGTGTGGGTGTGTGTGTGTGTGTGGGTGTGTGTTTGTGTGTGTATTATTTGATACGCTGTGTGGAGGAGCTATTTTTACGAGTTACAAATAAAACACACCTGTAGCAAGCGACAACAAATGATCCGCCGAAGGGCATCTGGGCGGCGCTGGTGCTGGTTCGCTGGAGCCCAGCTCGTCCAGGTCGAAGGAGCGCGACAGTAGGCGCCGTTGGTTGGGGCTGTGGGGGGCTGGGGAGGAGTCTGGCTCGTCGCGGGTTGAGTTCGGGTCGACGTGGTTAGGGGAGTCTAGATTGAATCTGGAATACGAATTACAAACGTTACACACAAATGCTTCATATATAGATATTCATACATATTTTCACTTCTCATGCTCTTAAAGTTCGTATTTATGGGTGTAGGCTGCATGAAATAGGATTTTATGGTCTAGTGCATAAAATAAAATCGTCGTTTAAGATCGAGGCAATGACGCCTGCGCCAACAGCCACCCACCCTAGAACTTTATAAAATAAAGTTTTACTTTTGTTTTTTTAATCCGTGTTATATTACAAAATTTAAAAAGTAGGCAATAGTAATTCTAATAAGTATAAGAAATAGAAATGCATAAAAAAACAAAAGCTAAATATAACTGAGCATTATGTAGTCCGACCTGAGTCACGTGTAGAAAAAAAGTAGTACATTGGCGGAAAGTTCTTATTTTTTCTTGGCAATAGTTGTGTTATCGTTTATTTGTAATATTGCTGTTTAATTTCCTCGCAATCGAAGTGAAAAGCAGAGTGTATAACTCGTTCATAAAACTCATTTTACCCTCGACTTAAGTATCCACTCATTAAGTATCATACTCGTCTCGAGTACAATCAGTGTTGGGCAAAATTTAATTGTTCTGACAATTAAAGATTGACAATTAATTAATTGTCAATTGCTAAACAGCAATTAACGATTGATCAATTGTTAGTTGCGAGAACCGCAACTGATTTAATTGCAATTGATTTCAATTGAATTGATTTTTTAATCTGATCGTATTTCTGATTGAAATTTAATTGATTAACGCCCAACACTGAGTACAACGACACGTTTTGTGCACGTGTTGTACAATGTACTATTATTACACTTCTATATGGTTTCCTTAGATCTAGAATACATTTAAATTATTGTCTTTCAGACTTTTTTTATAATACCAAGTGATGGGACGAACAAGTCGAGCGCCTGGTGTTAAGCGACACGCTTGTCCATAATGTTGCAGTGCTACTTAGCTTTAAAGCGCAAAGATCTGAGGGGCACTGCCACTGCACCTGTCACCCTGAGACATAAGTTGTCAAGTTCCATGTGCCTGTAAATTGTCACCAGCACCCATGGTACGCCCGGGTTCTGATCAGATTTTTTTCAAGCCGGGTCCACCGGAGACACCTACACTAAAAATTAAGTATATACGGAAAACATTCGCAGGATATCCTGCTAATTCTTTATAGGTGCCTAGTCAAAAAAATAAAGAAGTTAAAACAGATATTTCTTGTAATCATTAATACAAAGACATTAACTCAGAAAAAATTCCTTCGATCCGGTCGGATTCGAACCGACGTCTTCTTGCACGCCGTGGCAGACGCTACACCAACTAAGCCACGGAACGAACCAACGGACCCAACGAATTTTTCTATGTGTTTGCGTCGTGTCTTTGTATTTGGTTTTTCAACGATTTTTTAGTCGTAGCGCCATCTATGAGAAATCTATGAAAGATTTAATATAACAGTACTAGTAAGTAGGTAAGTAAGTAAGTAGGTAATATAACAGGACTAGTAAGTCCTGGCGAGAGATGTCGCTATTCACTGTATTTTAATTTTTTATTGAATTGATATTCAATTTTTTTTTGTTTTTTTGTGAAATTACTCCACTAGTTTGTTGTAATCATTAATACAAAGATCGAACACTCAGAAAAAATAGGTATTTCTTATTTAAATTCTTTAATTATATAGGATGGCTATTTTAAAACTTTCGAGGATCTTCAGCAAAACGGTTTATGACATCTTCTATGAAAGAATCGTCCATAATCGACTACAGTAGACAGAATGGACGCATAGGTACGACCATGCCAGCACCCTAACCATTCAAAACCGGAACACAGTAATGCTGACATTACTGCTTGGCGCTTACAAGCGTTAAAATATTAAGGGATCATGTATAAAGGTGATTTAAATAAAAAAATATACAGTATGATTTTTTTTACTGGGACGGTATGGGGAAATCTGAAACCATAGGAAATATTTAATATAAACGTCGCATAGTTGGCATAGCGTCCGACACGGTTTACTAGAAGACGCCGGTTCTAATCCGGTCGGATCGAAGAAATGATTTCTAAATGTTCGAACTTTGTATTAATAATTATTACTATATCAAATTTTTAACAAACCGAAACAAAGATCTGAAAGACATGGAAAAATTCGTAAACGTCCGCTGGTTCGTTCCGTGGCTTCCTTGTGCCTCTATCTTATGTCCTTGTCATTTTGAAATTGTGCAAAAGAGAGCAGCCTATACTAAGTCGTTGAACTATAGCAGCATATAAAACATAAAGGAAACGTCATAGTACCTGGTTCTTAATGCTCTGGTCAATTGCTGCATAGCAGTGGCATCGGACGGCGGTGCAGTGGTATTATCGACAGCTAGTGTACTCAGGACTCGAGTGTTCGGGTCTTCCGTGTCGACTGATAACGGGTAACCTAAAAATGATATAATTATGTTGTATAAAATTTATTTTAATGTTAATAACGCACACACACAACACAGCCCCACACTAGGGAAACCCTGTGTCGCGGGGGCTATGGACACACACATAGACAACCACAAATGACACCCAAACTCACGAGATAAGTAAATGTAGGCCATACTAATATTTCTCCCGGCCCGGGAATCGAACCTGAGAACTCTGCGTGGCAGTCATAGTAACCGTTCGGCCACGGAGGCAGTTAAATGAAAAATAAAGTTAATATTATATGAAAACAATTTTATGAGTGAATTCTACAGTTTTATATTTATCTATTTAAACACTATATTGTACACAAAGTAAATTGCGAATTTTAAGAAATAATTTATAATATTAGTGTACAAAGGCGAGCTTATCCCATAAAGGGATTTCTTCCAACTAACCTGTAAAAAACTGACAGGAAAGTTGATTTTGAGTTGGCAATAAAAATAAATAAATTAAAAAGAAATTGAACGCTATTGTACTCAATAAATACACAAACAAATTTATTATATCAAATGTAATACAGTAATGTCGATATACTTATACACATAAAATCTATAGCAAAATGATTGCATATAATAAATCGAAAAATTATTATATAACTACATCTGCCAATTAAGTTAGTGGAGTCGATCCTTCAAGACCTCACTATTTTTATTTCATCTAAAACTGGCAGCCCACTAAACATTTACATCCTCTATTTAAAAACCTCGCTATATGTACAGAGGGCAGCACATTATACTACACATTGACGGATCTTGTTCGGTTGCACTGGAGGCGATATTCGAATAACTTTTTTACAAAAAAGAAACCGACCTCAAGTTTGTGGAATTACATCTATTTGCCAAGTTGTATTGATGATTCTTTTTTGTTGGAAAGAGGGTACCCCAGATGTGGTTCCATTTAATTTTGAAGAAACCACCTATAAGGGTGGCAAACTAGGGGATGAATGACGTTTGAGATCGGTTTTTTTGCTGTTTTATTTTAAGAGTTGAAAGGCATAACGATATCAGTATTTTTAAAGATGTCTTTAGCGCCGTATTATTACTAATAATATTAATTTCTTTCATTGTAGAGAATTGTAAGAATACTAGAGAAGAATGTCACCTCGAACAAGGTGCAGCGTGACTTCTGCACCCGGCGGAATGGACTGGAAGATGTGCGCGACCTGCGCGTGCGACAGTCCGCGCACGGGCCGCGTGCCCACTCCCACCACCACGTCGCCTGGCCGCAGGGCTCCTGTTCCGATCAACACATTTCAATATCAGTAATATTCTAAATTACAGTTTCGTTACTATAAGGAGGAAGTGAGTGACTGATTAACGTTTATACAACAATAATAACTGGTGGGCACGGGTTTCTTTAGAAGGAGAATGTTTTCATCATAGTCAATGTGCCCGATAACTACACCAACTGCCTGGTCTCAAACTAGGAAATCCCCTATACTATGAGTACCAGAGCAACGGAATTCTAGGGCACTTCCCAGAACACCCACACCAGAAACATTTTAGAAAGTTCATTTTCCAAATTGGTCCTACCGGGAATACAATACTATTTGTAAACTATTTTTTAACATTATTATATGAAAAATAGTTTATTTTCAATGTGTTGTGAAAGGCGAGAGAAGACCGTGAGAATAACCTAAAGAAAATTATACTAACCGTCTATCCAAGCAGGGCTGTGGGGCACAATGCTGCGAATTTGGAGGTAGCCTTCTGTTTCAGGTATTCCTTCAGCACCTATTAATGTGAAGCCCAGACCCTGGAATAAAGATAAATATACTTTATTGCATACACGTCATCATCATTTCAGGCGTAAGACGACCACTGCTGAACACAGGCCTCTCCCAAAGAACGCCACAACGACCGGTCCCAAAGAGAACTAGGGGTCTGATTTTGTTTTTGTCATCAATTGTGGGGGTTTTGCCATAATCGCCGCGCTTGGCACTCGTGAGCGTTGTCTCTGCCTTTCCACATTGCTTGCTGATCCCTTAGTAGCCTTGTACGACACCCGCGGGAAGAGTAATGTGATTCTACTCTAAGCCGGAGACCACGCGGCGGATTGCATACACAATACAAAAAAAAGTGAAAATAAAAGTTTTATATAAGAATATATTAGTAAGCCCGAAACGTTGGTCACTGTTGACCGTGACCACGGGACCTGTAAAGGGCCCGAAAGTTGGTTTGTTTGAAAAAACAAATATACACGATTTAAATCCGGAAAAAACTTAATTTCCTATTATAATATAATTCTTTTAAGATGAAGAATAGAGTGTTGGTAGGTAGTGGAAACCGTACTTTTGGAATAATAAACGCACATGTGATCATACGTCAAAAATGCTTATAACACATGAAAGTCATAAACTACATGAAACAAATTGTGTATGTGTGAAATTTTATAGCTGCAACATTTTCGTTCGTAGAATCATTTACCATTAAAGTTGTCATTTTGCACATGTGGCCTTATTACATAAGTGTGCGAAATGACATAGCTAGTACTATACTATTCTATTTTCAAGTTTCTGGCTTCTCTCGAAGAATTCTGCCAATATTTGTGATTTCCAGTTACACAGGGAACGTCTAATGTCTACTACCTAATCTAACCCTACGTCTGTCGCTAGTAAGACCTGCTGTCATTACCTGTACTTAGAATGTTGTGTTTTGCGAATATGGTGTTTGAAGAATGTGGTATCTTGCGAAAATGATATTTTGTGAACATGATGTCTTGTGAATATCATGTTTTGCGAACATGATATTTTGCGAATATGACACTCAGCGACAGAGGGGTCTAGTCAGTCATGGAAGATAAAATATACGAGTAGTCCATTTCACATAGCATGGGGAAATGTGTGTGTAACTTCAAATCTGAAATTTTGAAGTTTCCAGAGACGTAGTAATGTAAAAACGAATGAAAAAAAATCTAAAAGAGAGTCGATTTAGAAACAATAATTTAAGAACAAATAATAAACAAAATAAAAAGGATTAAATTATTATGTTATTAATTTACTTAAAAGAATACACAACGAATTTAAAAAACCAACAACAACCAATCAAAAAGTCAATAGTACTGAAATGAAATATGAACAATTAAAACAAAAGAAAACCACCCGCATATAATGCATTTATATTGACGTGAGTGATATACAATAACTGGCTTTTCGATTTATCGATTCTGTAGTGTAAATGTCTATGGATACTTATTCCGTTTTACGCATCAAGTAGTTGGGGTAATTTATCTTTATCATTTCATTATCTATCTTACTATTCTACTTAATATTTTTTAACCGACTTCAAAAAAGGAGGAGTTTCTCAATTCGACTGTATATTTTTTTGTATGTATGTTACACAATAACTCCGGTATTTGTGAACCAACTTTCATGATTCTTTTTTTTTTGTTGGAAAGAGCGTACCTCCATAGTGGTCCCATTTAATTTTGAAGAAAATCATCCACCTCTAAGGGCGGCTGTTCACGCATGACGATTCATTTTTATAAATAGTGCCTAAATTTTATTATAAGGAGCAATTATTTTAATGGTTGATTTTGCTATTCTCCAATTCAAGGCGTTTTTCTCTCTCAATCATCGAGTATATAACCAGAAATAGAGACGAAATAAGGGCCATATATTCCTGGTAACACATTAGCGATACAGCTCTTATAAATATCAACTCCCGTTTGCACTGAAATATAGACAGGCCAACTACCTGACCTGTGTGTCCGTCTCCGTATATTCCAAAAAATATTCTGTATGTATTGTAGTAAAGATAATATCTCTAACAATACCGTGCTGTTTTATTCGGTGGTGTAGGAAAAACAGCAAAACATCTAATTACAAAACAAACGGAATCACATTTCATCGGTAATTAAATATTAAATATGTAATTTTGCAATTTTAGTTCATTATAGCAAAGCTCAAGTTAACTGGTCGATTTGAAGTGAAACAGTTGACGACATCCGTTAATTGTTTCGAACTCGGGCTAGCCAATCGGAGCGCAGTTGTCACGGTAATGATTTATGGCAGAATAGTTTTGAAACAAATTAAATGACATGTCGTCTCTATTTCTGGTTATATCGATCCTCGATTTATCGATTCTGTAGTGTAAATGTGTATGGATACTTATTCCGTTTTACGCATCAAGTAGTTGGGGTAATTTATCTTTATCATTTCATTTTCTATCTTACTATTCTACTTAATATTATCTACTTAATATACTGTAATTTTTACTTAAAATTACAATTGCAACAAATATTGTTTGTTTTTAGTATATTATAACTAATTTACTATTTGTTCTTGTAACCTGGTTGAAAGATTAGTTAAAAATAGTATGCATGCAACGTAAAAATTTGAAATATCACAGTACCCAACCTAGTGAAATGAATGCATAATAAAAAAAATAATTTTTACATTACCATCATCATATTTACACTAATCATTGATAAAACACTGTTGCGAGTTATTCACTAAGAAATATTATTTATGTTTATTTTCACAACTTCACACGATAAAGTTACGCCAGACGTTTGCTGACTTTTTTAACTAATGAGTACCAATGTACTCTTATTTAAGAACGCCCAGTTAATTACCTGTAGGTGATAGGTAAAGGAAGGACCTTAAGCTCTTATTTTAGAATTTAGATGTTGTTACAAACATTGCTTTAGAAAGCTAAAGTTCACGCAATGCTTAAAGCCATTAAATCCTATCGTCGTTTGTTTTTTATTTAATATATTTTATTTAATCTTATGAGTGATTATAAATGCCTTATTAAGACCCTCATTCTCTAATAAAATTACTACTTGACACTGTCACAAATTCACGAACATTGCGCGCAAATGTGTATCCTGAGTTGGATACATCCAGCACCAGACAATCTTGAACGCACCACCGTTCCAAATCTGCGGCCTTAAAGGTTGTTTACCTCTCACCTACAGAAATTAAACTGAAAATTAATAGCTAGCGGCGCTACGTCCGCTCGCCATTATTCGTGAGGCGCACTATATTAATGATTTTTATGAGGTTATTTCGTTAATACCAGACGTGCCAATTTCAATCCCTCTTTCGACATTCAGGCACGTCTTGGTACTAGCAAAGATATGATAAAACAGTGTAAGATAGATTTGCTAAACTAACGGATAACTCACGTATTTAAGTTGCATTTTGGCTCTACAAGTTTCGAATCAACCTGTGGTCCTTAATTATGAGATTCCGAGTCAGTGACTCGACGGAAACTGCGCATCAAAGCCCTGACAGCTCGGTCGGTCAGTAAGGCTGCGGGCGCATGTGGCTGCGTCGAGCAACTATCCTCGTTTGCTGCATTTTTATTTACAACACAGTAGTGTTAGGTAATACTTTAGTGATTAGTGTGGATACAGATTACTAAAGATCTGTGCTACCTCACCTCGAATTCAAATTTCTCCCGTTCTGACATGGTTCATTTTGCTAGGAACAACAGGGACGCTGGCTTTCATCGAGTATATAACCAGAAATAGAGACGAAATAAGGGCCATATATTCCTGGTAACACATTAGCGATATAGCTCTTATAAATATCAACTCTCGTTTGCACTGAAATATAGACAGCCCAAGTACTGACCTGTAGGTACGTCTCCGTATATCCCAAAAAATATTCTGTATTTATTGTAATAAAGACAAATGTCTAACAATGCCGTGCTGTTATATTCGGTGGTGTGGGAAACAGCAAAACATCTAATTACAAAACAAACGGAATCACATTTCATAGGTAATTAAATATGTAATTTTGCAATTTTCGTAAATTATAGCAAAGCTCAAGTTAACGGGTCGATTTGAAGTGAAACAATTGACAACACCCAATGACGACACCCGTCAATTGTTTCGAACTCGGGCTAGCCAATAGGAGCGCAGTAGTCACAGTAATTATATGGTAGAATAGTTTCCAAACAAATTAAATGACATTTCGTCTCTATTTCTGGTTATATACTCGATTCTGGATTTATTTCAAATTTTCGAATTTCTTTTTTTACAAAAGAAATTAAAGCCATTTGAGAAATGTATATCGTATAGTATACGTGTTCCATTTAGTTAAGTTGATATAAAAAAATCATTGATATATGTAAAATACCTATATATTACTACCCTGGACGGACTCTTTCACAATGAGATCCATACTAATTAAATGAAGCTTATTTTATATTCTTCTAAGTTACGTTACATTCAAATTACTTTACATGATAAGATCAATTTAAAATAAAAAAAAAACTAAGACGAGTTGAATTGGTTCCAATATAAACATTTGTTTTTGTTCGGTACATGCCTGTGTGCCTTTAGTAAGGGATAGGGTGAAGCGTTCTCCTCGCAGTTCTCCTGTCGGTGCTGGACCGTTCGACTGGCCACCGCCTCCATTTTCCGACACCAGCTTTTCAGCTGAAACAATTAATTTTTAATAATAATTTGTACGCAAACTGGTTAATTCCAGGCAACTTCGCTTTGAGTTTGAGACTGATTTCTCTCTTCTCTTCTTTCTCAGAAGGCCGTTCTATTCCATAAGTCCCTGACTCCGGCCGACTGAGCTATTGCCGGCGAATACCCCATCTTTCAAAATAAATCTTTTAGGCCATTGGAAAAGCCAGTCTAAAATAGATGTCGAAACTAATAATAATAATATATATCGAGTTCTTAGGTTTTCGCGATTGTTACACATAGAAAATGAAACTATTCCATGGTCACGGTTGTCAACTGTGACCATAGGACCTGCAAAAGGCCGAAACGTTGGTTTGTATGAAATAACAAATATACGCGATTTAAATTCGGAAAAATAGTTTCATTTCTAACTTTATATATAGGCAAAATAATGGAAGCAGGTCACACAAAATTTAAAATAAAAAATGAGTTACTTAAATAATTATGTTAATTACTGAATAGTACCTGAAATGCAAGTGTGTGTGCGTGCGTGCGTGTGTTTACCACTATCCACAATAATATTTTATTTTACGTACATACATATTACATACGCTCACGCCCCTGTCCCACAGGAGGGGTAGGCAGAGATCACGGAACGCCGCCTTACTATATCCTGACACAGCCTTCGAGCCTCACATTCATCAACTACCCTTTCCATACAACTTTCTTTATTGTTACTTCAGATTCGTTATTTTATTTTAAGCCTCCTTATATTTAGATACATATACTACATATAAACTAATTTTTCGGATCTTAAATAGCATAATTACACTTGTATTTTGTTACATGCATTGTATTCCCATAGTACTCGATGGAGCTTGCAGAAGCCTCGAAAATTACTAAGGAAAAACTCTATACTGGCGAAATCCGAGGCCACCGCCAAGAAGCAAAAAGAAAAGAAAAACATTGCGCAGAAAAATCAGAACAACGATGGCTGTTTTACAAGGTTAGCGTATACAAGGAATACAACGATCAGTAACACGCTTCACTAACTCGGAGTAAACATCGCTCTGGGCTAAGAATGGGTTCTGTTATGCGCCAGTTATCTGTGACACCGTTTACTTATGATTACGATGATAACAGAGATGGCTCAGTGCAGCCTTTTTTATTTATGGTAATCCAAACAGACAGACGGTATATCTGCTGGAAAGCGATAAATATGCGATGCGACCTCCTTCATCGTCATGTCGCCTTTTTATCACCTTTGCTCTGGTTCCTGGCCACTTATTTTCGAATTTTGAATCGTTCTTGAATTCCATTGCCTCGTCATTATCACTTTGTTTCGTTCCGTCGGCACTCCCTGCTTAATCTCTGAAATGAGCACTCCTGCTCGTCTTCTCCGATAATTTTGAACTGTTTACCAGTTTCCATTATCCATAGTGAGTGTTTTTAACCGATTTCAAAAAAAGGAGGAGGCTCTCAATTCGACTGTATGTTTTTTTTCTTTTTTTTTGTGTGTATGTTACGCGATAACTCCGGTATTTGTGCACCGATTTTTAAGATTCTTTTTTTGTTGGAAAGAGGGTACCTCCCATTCAATTTTGAAGAAAATCATCCACTTCTAAGAGTGGCTGTTCACGCAAGAAGATTCATTTTTATAAATAGCGCCTAAATTTTATTATAAGGAGCAATTATTTTAATGGTTGATTTTGCTATTCTCTAATTCAAGGCGTCTTTCTCTCGCAATATACTTTTAGTAGTGAGAACCGATTTTTATTATCTCCTGTGTCAAGTTCCGTATAGTGGGGAACTAGGAGATGAATCCGGGTTTGCGCACTTTCCGGTAACCGATTTCAAAAAAACTTGGCAAATAGATGTAATTCCACGTACTTTTGAGGTCGGTTTTTTTTAGTACTCTGTACTGAGATTATTTTAATACTGTACCTGTTTTTATACCACTTTTTCTCCCTTTTTATTTCACCTTTATCGTATACGATAAATATATGGGACCGAATAATCTATTTTATTGCTCCCTATTGGCCGTTTACAACCCCTTCAGTATTAGTCTTAATGACAGAATAGCTGGCTTTACAGACACTCTATCGCGCGTGATACAGCATCAGCACGCGTGTAAAGACGTTTTGGACGGAAAAGCGAAAGTCGCGCGCGAATCCAATACGCTCCAGTTTCACGCGGTCTATCTTCCGCTATTAGCCTTTCCATGGACGCTCTTTCCGTTGTAACAAAAACGAACACGAGCAATTGCGCGCAAAAGAATAGCTTAAAAAAAGTCAAACAGCTAACCGCACACGATTCTACGTGCAGGCTTTCCCGCGCGCAATTCTATACGCTCCTGATCACGCGCGATAGAGTGACTGTGTGTGTGTGCTAATGCCGAAGCGTAGGAAGAGAGCGTTATGGTACGAAAGATGATGTAATGAACAGTAGGGCTAGCACGACAGGGCGCGACATAAAGAGATAGATGTTTTTGCAAGTAGATGGGTAGTTGTGTGTAAAGAATGTTTGAGGTTTTGTGAGAGGATGGATGAGCGTGTGTCTTTTGTGAATTACTAATATTGTATATTTTATTACTGCAATGAAATTGTACGAATAAATAAATAATATTTTTAACTTTTTCATTAAAAAAAACTGACCACATAAGTTTACTTACCGCCATTTTTATAGGAATTACATCTCAATAACTTTTTTTACTAATATTATGCACCCCGAATTTTGTGAAAAAAAGAAGCGAAAAAAAAACAAAATTGGAAAAAAACAATAAACAAATTTTGTGAAAAAAAAAAGAAACTTTTGTGAAACAAAAATTAAGTTGGCGTAGTGTTCGTCGGAGGTATCAATCTATTTGCAAAGTTTTATTGAAATTCTAAAACGGAATAAGCGCGAAACTGGATTTATACCGATACTAATGAGACTAATACTGAAGTACTTACCCTTTTTCCAAAAATAAAAACAATCGTCAAAATCAATTCACAAATGCCGGAGTAATCGCGTAACATACAAACAAACAAAAAACAGTCGAATTGAGAACCTCCTCCTTTTTAGAAGTCAGTTAAAAATAAATAAATACTGCTGTCCTTGCATCCTGTCGTGCTAGCTCTACAAGATCAGGATAGACAGAATATTTCGATATTTTTTTTATATTTTTTAAGATTGTCATGTAGAAAGAATGTTGGTAGATTGACGGCATTTTATAAAGTGAATGTAGCGGGAGGCGTTTGGAGAGGTAGACCTGGGTGTACAAATTGGTGATGTCCTCAAAAAGGCCGGGTTAAGAATACCAAGAATAAACGCACAGACTCATAGTCCCGCATCAAGGAAACTCTGTGTCACGAGTGCCATGGACACACACATAGACAACAAGAAATTACACCCAAACTGACGAGAGAAATAAATGTAGGCGATACAAATATTTCTGCCGACCCGCGAATCGAACCATCGGCCGAAGATCTTTATGTGGCAGACCAGCATGGTAACCGTTCGGCCACGGAGGCAGTTGAAACGGGCATGTAAGAAAATACTGATGGGGTTAGAGGAGATGACAGGAGTTTGTCAGAGATGTAGCAGGTGGAAGTCCACGTATTTCCACTACTTTTGACTATTTTACTTGATATTTCTATGCTGGACTGAATGATGGTTATGCATCTTACAAAACTCCCATTTCTCAACTTCATTGTTTTCGCGAGCGAATACTCAATCAAGTGATTACACATCCTACTTTTTTTGCAGTTGGCTAAGCAAAAGCCGTTATTTACGGACCCAATCGACCGTGCTAGTGGGTTCATTATCCACGCTTTATTAAGAAATTGTTGGCAACTTTCACCATTATGGCGTTTAGCGGATTATAAATACAGAAAAAGTTAAATGACAATACCTCTGACTGCTGTTTTACAATTTAGGTATAGTGTAAAGATCCGGGCGTAAATGGCGGAGATGGAAACAACCCCGCGTGTCGTTCTACTGCAGTGGTCAATGATTGTAATATTTATTCAAATTCATGTATTACATTACACATGTAATAGTATAGGTTAATAGGCTTAAAATTACATGATTTAATAATGCAATATTATATTTATATTTCTATTATTATATTTTTTATTAGACAGTAATTTGTAATTAATAAAAGAGACAAATAATTATTAACTAAGTTCGTTTTCTATTACCATTTATCAAAAACTTTTATCGCCGAAAAATTCAGACAAATTATAATAATAAATTTTTTAATGAGAAAATCTTGCAAATTTTTTTTTGAAGACTATATTTTTATGCAAAACTTTCATATAATTAGGGATGTAATTATATGAAAGTTTTATTAACATTTTATTAACATGAAAATAGTTTAAGCCAGAGTAAGGAAGTTTAAATTTATTATGGTAACGATTATAGTACAGTTAAACTATAAAAAATAAAATAATAATAATTTCATTTTAACACTTTTTCTTTCTTTTTTGTATTTTCTTTTATATGTTTGTACCAACATAAATTTTGCAATTTATAATTAATTGACAGTTACTTTCCTAAATATGCCGTACGTACACGCTCCTGTTTGGCATTCTGGTTCAAATCTAGTTTTAAACAAATTAATATGATAATCTATTTTGGATGTCGACTGTTGCGTTCGTCTAATAAAAAAAAAGATTAATAAGACGTAATAACGTCTTATTAATTTTACTGGAGAGTATAAGTCTACATGTTTTTTTGACGAACTTACTGGCTTCAAAAATATACAAGCACGATAGAGTGAGTACGTTAAGTTTTGTAAAGTACGGCTTACAGGAGTGTCTTTCGACGATGTTGGTTATTATTAGATAGATAAACACTTTATTCACTAATATAACACAAATACAGATTAAGCATAAAAGAAAAAACATATCATGATTGACATGAAATAGCAGTGAAACGGCGCTGACTTAGCATATACCGAAGTTTCCTGAGGCGCTAGTGTTCAGTCAGGACCAACGAGATAGCAAAAATGTAACGACTACGCGTAAAATTTATACATTGAGAATAATAAATATATAGTGAAGTGTTAATAGTGCATCTAAAATAACCTATTTGATATGTAAGTGCTTGAGCGCGCGTGAATATAATTACAGCTGTAGGAGTAAATTGTGATTGTAGACAGGTTTTAATGTTGTATAATGTATTTAGTATAAAATATAATTATACACATAATGTGAATAGATAAAAGCAACAACAAAATTCGATTCCAGATAGACTACGTTAAAAAATAAAAACACTAAAAAGATTTTTGAAGTGAGAGTAGGTGATACCGGTAGTGTTCATACATTTTTTTTAAGAACAAAAATTTCTTGGCTTGGCTTGTAAGTAAGATTAGTAAGTAGAGCGGAGGTCCGTACGACTCGGTAACAACCTGCTGGTTGCATCCAAGTCACCGAGCACACCTTAAAGTAGTTAGCACGATTATTGAAGTTTTCACCGACGGCGTTCATGTAGAACACAAAAAAAGGGTATGGATTACAGGATGGCAGTTTGGTGTATAATCAGTATAATAGAACAGCTAGCTGAAGAACAGGTGAAGATTGAAAATCAGCAGTCTTCGTCTTTAGCCTTTCCACATCATTGTCCACATCACTCAATTGTTTATTGGGCAGTTTTTAAGTATTGTGTTTTTTATGTTTTGTGGAGAAATAATGTCTTTATTTTTTTTATTTATAAGAAAATTCCAAGGACATTCAAATTTGAAGAAAATAATTACACCGCTAAGGGTGGCAAAGTAGGGGTATTTCCGTTAACCGATTTCAATAAAACTTGGCAAATAGATGTAATTCCACAAACTTTTGATATCCGATATTTTTTTGCTAGCCGACAGTACAGATACATAAGCTCTTATTTGTATAATAGGATCAATACACAGATTCAAATAGTACATCTTAGTAAATATAGGGCAAAAAAGGTACTGCACTCATGGCTGCTGGCCAGGGACTACGAATTGACGGAGAATCTGGTCCACCGTGGAAATTAATTGCTGGCTCAAAATCAAATAGATAGTTTCTTCAGTATTGAATATTTTAAACTTTTAATTTGCATCATTTATGTTGTTTTTGTTCATATATCTCATTCAAATGTTTACTGACACTCCTATAAATATCATATCACACACACACACAGAGAGAGACACACACACACTCACAAACACATTCACAGTCTCTCTCATACACTATACACAAACAAACATACATCCAAAAAATTAACGGTGCGTACTCTTACCGTTTGAGTCTTTAAAGTTATATTCTTTTTAGTGATTAAAATACTATTTCTTAATACCGTTGTTTAGTGTAAGGTTAACGCACGTTGGAAGACTGACTCTCATATCACAGGTTACCCTATCTTGAGAGTCAGGGATCTCATATCAAATGTTATATATAGCCTTACCTTATAATCGTTTTGTGTTATCTTTAACTTCTTGAATAAAGAAATTATTATTATTATTATTATTATTATCTTTTTTTTTTTAAAGTTATAATTATTTATCGTTCTATACTTCACGTTATGAAAGTTGTTTCATACCTCTCAATCTTCGGGCTTGCAGAACTGGATTTTCATACTGAGTGCGTCTATTAATATGGTCCACATAGTAAGAACCATAGCGTTCGTCTGTTACTCGCTCCCAGCCGTACGGAAGTTCGTCCTCGCCACACTCTCCGAGCGAGTGTTTGCGGACTCTGGCTAAGCGGGGATCTAGCCAGTGCGAAGTGCCGGTGTTGTGGCTGCAAAAGAGAAAAAACAAATTAGTATATGTTTATCATTAAACCATTTATACTGCCACGCGAGTCTTGCGTAATTATGATAGAAACGCTCTGTGACAATGTGACCTCCTTCCATCGTCATCCCACCTTTCTATCACCTTTTCTCTGGTTCCTGGCGACTTGTTTTCAAATTTTGAATCGTTTTTTAATTCCGTTGCCTCGCCATTCTCATTTTGTTTCGTTCCGTTGTCACTCTCTCTCGTCTGCGAGATTGACCGAATTAAACCGGCTCGACCACGACCAGCTTGCCGCGTCAAGACGGACCTCCCAGATGTCTGTCAAAATTAGACGAGCAGCACTGCTCGCTACAGGGATAACGATGAAAGGTCACATCGTCACAGCTCTGTCCACACGAATTTGTAAAAAAAACCGACCTCAAAAGTACGTGGAATTACGTCTATTTGCTAAGTTTCATTGAAATATCCCCTAGTTCGCCACTATACCGGGCTTGATACTGGAGATAATAAAAATAGGTTCTCACTACGACACAACTCAAAGTATATCGAGAGAAAAACGCCTTGAATTGGAGAAATAGCACAATCAACTAAATAATTGCTAAAAGTAATTGCTCCTAAATTAAAGTTAGGCGCTATTTATAAAAATGAATCTTCATGCGTGAACAGCCACCCTTTGAGGTGGACGATTTTCTTCAAAATGAAATGGGACCACTATGGAAATACCCCCTTTCCAACAAAAAAAGAATCATGAAAATCGGTTCACAAATACCGGAGTTATCGCGTAACATACATACAAAAAAAAGAAAAAGAAAAAAAAAGAACATACAGTCGAATTGAGAACCTCCTCCTTTTTTGAAGTCGGTTAAAAAGTAATAAGTACCAGGACCTAATAAGTACCTCGGCTCCCACTACCTATTTACAGCCTTTGGAGTCGAAACCTTTGGCTCGTGGGGTCCATGTGCCCTTCATCTGTACAAAATATTGTCCCATAAATTAATAGACTGTCTGGGAAACCCAAGCCTGTATTCGTATGGAATATATTGCTGCTTTATAAGCAGTTAGCTTTACATGATTTAAGGACACGTCTTTTCTCCTCGAGAAGTTTCATGGGAGTGACTACGAAACGAAGCAAAGTAAGAACGACGAAGAAAAATAATTAAAGAACGATTCAAAATTTCAAAAGAGGCCAGAGAAAAGGGTGATAAAAAAGTGACGATGAAGGAGGTCGCATCGTCATAATACGCGTAGACTGTTCGGCACGGGTCTACTCTCAGGCGAGGGTTTAGGCCATAGTTCGCCACGCTGACCCAATACGGGTTGGCAACTTCTTACGTTTTCCAAGGGAACCTTCTTCAACGTACAGGTTTCATCACGGTGTTTTCCGTTATCGAAAAGCTTATGGTAAATTTAAAATTAAATTTCACAAATAAACTGCTTCCGTGGTCAAATGGTTACCATGCCGGACTGTCACACAGAGGTCCCAGGTGAAGGTAAATCAAAATGAAACAATAAATTTAGATGATAACGATTCAAATTTTTATTGTATTAAAAAAAGTAATGTTGGGCAATTATGAATGAAAAATGATATCTGATAAATGTCCACCACGACCACAGTTACAATGTCGATTCTTTCATCAGTTTTTAATCACGTTTTGACAAAATGGTGAGTCTATTTCGTTAATCACTTCACGAATTTTGAGTTTTAAGGCTGCAATCGATTGGCTGGCTCCATCTAGTCTTTAACATAACCCCATAATAAATAATCCAGCGGTGTTAAATCACATGATCGAGCTGGCCACTTAACGGTTGAATTTCATGAAATTATGCAATCGGGAAATTTGGTTTGCAATAAATTTATTGTTTCGGTGACTGTGTGACTTGTGCCGTCGGCATTTGGCCGGTTTTTTTCGAATATTCGGCTGGAAATGCGGTTACGGTCAATGGATTACGCTATCGAGAGACGTTAACAACTCAATTTTGGCCTATTATTGATGATATGGATATCACTGACATGTGGTTTCAACAAGACGGTGACACAGTCATCGAAACAAGGAATTGAAACATTGTCATCTCAATTTATTGTTTTATATTGATTTACAAAACAAAGTTCTTGTTGAAAAACCCTTTAATTGTATGGCCGAAATTTATTTCTCCCGTGACTTTGGGTGTAATTTGTGGTTGTCTATGTGTGTGTCCATGGTACCCGCGACACAGGGTTTCCCTAGTACGGGGCCATGTTGAGTGTATGCGTTATTACTCAACAATAAATAAATATTAAAATTCCGAGAAACTCAGAGACGCAAGCTCGGATTCGAATGGCCTCTGCTTGAGAGGCGGTAGGTCAAACTAGGCTCATAATATATGTTATCACTAGACTTATTAAGAAGTCGCCCGCAAAGCTGCAAAGACATGAGGGGCAATGCCACTGAGCCTTTAACTCCGAGACTTAAAGTTGACAAGTCAAATCTGCCTGTAATTTCACCATTACCCTTTAAAACCGAAACGCAGTAATTGTCACATTATTGCTTGACAGCAGAAATGGGTATCTGGACGAACTCTTTCACAAGGAGCTCTAATCCTACTAAAATAATAACGTACCCGACACTCACACCAATTATTTGGTTTCAAACTAAAAAGTGTTTTACCACTTTCGTTATTATTATTTATAACATCAAGTGAAGGGGCGAACAAGTCGTGCGCCTGATGGTACGCTACACGCCTGTCCATAACAGTTACATTACCACTGATACTAATAATAATAGCTTTATTTATACCTTACAACCGTACAGTTTACTACATAGGGCACACTATAAGTTTCCGGAACTGGCCACTTACATAAACAATATTTAAAAAGTAATTGCAACATTCGAAAATGGAACTCTTAGGCTGTAGAATACAGTTTGTTTTATCTGACTGTCACTTGTTTTTACACTGTGGCGTCATTTTAGAAATTGGTTGTCTACTGTCCATGGATTTAACTCGTGAAAGCTTTCGTAGAAAAGATTTTCTACGACTTGCTGCTATGCGCCGTATGATCAAAACAGACAGGCATGTGACATACCATGCGATTCGGGCATCTTTAGGCATAGGCATGAGTCAAATACAATCAATACTACACAAACATTTGGTGTGAAAAAGCTGTGCTCTCGGTGGATTCCACACAATTTGACTGAGGCTCAAAAAACGGTTCGCGTCACTTGGTGCAATGCCATGCTTATCAGATTCAACGAAGGGGCGTCAAATTTGGTGCGGGACATAGTAACAGGTGACGAAACGTGGATTTATAGTTACGATCCCAAAACAAAGCAGCAATCGAGCGGTCTTTCGAGATGACCCGAAACCAATCAAAGTGGCGCGCGTGCAAAGTGCCTCTAAGTGGATGATTGCTTCTTTTTTTAATAAAACTGGACACAAGGCTACTGTTGCTTTTGAGAATCGTTGTAACGTGAATAGTGATTGGTACACGACCTTTTGTTTGCCGGAAGTTATTGACATACTTTGTAAAAATAACCGTAAACGCCGTATCATCGTGCACCACGATATTGCCAGTTCTCACACGGCCAGACAAACAAACGAATTTTTGAAGGTGAACAACGTTCACCTTATGGGCCATCCCGCGTACAGTCCCGACCTGGTACCATGTGACATGTGGGTACTAGCATCGTCGTCTGCTCGCCGCGACGGTCATCGTTCTCTGCGCGGCGAGACCACGGACCGCATATTTTTATAGTAGCGAGACAGCAATACATCTGTCTCGCTCTCACATTTTAAGTAGGCCCTCTGATTGGGTTTTATTAATGTAAGGTCTCTGATAGGCTTAATTTTGCATTCGGTACGTTTTGGTTTTGTATAAATATAGCGCCTTTTGGACAAATAAATTACACTTCACTTCTGACAACATACGACATCGCAGTTTCAATCATCCTGCCCTGAGGACCCCACAACAATTTATTTATTTTCAAAAATTAAGAACCAGTTACCCGGTCAACGATTTTCGTCACCTGAAGAGGCTGTCGAAGAGTAGTGTTATGTGTAAGGGCCGCTTTTAGCGGTGAAAGCCTCCTCCATTTTGTTCCAACAGATGGTGTATGTACCCAAAGCAACATTATACAGTCTTAATTTTGACAACCGTCAAACAGATGCTTGCGCAACATGCGCTTGAAAGATAATTTGGTCTGAGTTTGTCTTACATGGAGCGGGAGTGCGTTCCAACGACGGATTGCATGAAGGGTAAAAGTATAAGACAAAAAATCAGTGCGGTGAGAAGGAAAAGAGAGCTTAAGGCTACGGGAAGATCGAAATTAGCAACCCGGCTGAGCGATTTGAAATAGAAATGAACATTTAAGATAATATGGGGAAAAGAGTGGTTAAAATTCTTAAGAACTGCGTTCACGGATGGGAAGCCAATTTAGTTGACGACGAAAAGCAGAGATGTATGAAATTATGAATTCTTTGATGTAAGTATGAACTTCCGCGGACCAAAAATAAACCTAATGCAGTTGTTAAGAAGACGATCTAATCTATTCAAAGAGACTTGAGAGATGTTACTGTAACACACGTGAGCATAATCAATCACAGGCAACACTAGAGCTCGAACAAGGAGAGTTTTGGTTTTAATTGGAAGAAAGTTCTTAAACCTGTATAGAGCTCTTAGTGTGTCTGTAACCCTACGACAAACGTCAGACACCTGGGGATCCCACGTAAGGCCTGTGTCAATAATAAGCACCAGGTTCTTTACCTGATTTGACAGAGGAATCGCTACGTTATCAAACATTATTGGTGGCACGCACGACATATCACGACGAAAAAAGGCGTCCGCTTCCAAGGATGATCGCTTGACACTTGGAATGGTTGACAATGATACCAAACCTTTGGGACCAAACCGAGATGCGATGAAGGTCATCATTAATTAATACAATTGCATCACTGATGCCACCGACATTAACCTCGGTATAAAGCCGTCAAAGTCGTCGGCACGCAGGTGTCTTGTGCCAGTCTTGGCCA